TGGGGAGGACACTATCCCGAGGAGGCGTACGACACAGAAATGATAAAGCTGAACCAATCAGGCAGATCAGCCAAATTGCTCCCCTGGTATCCAAGCTATGGAGATATTTCGTTACTAATGGTTATTACAACATCAATGTAAAAAAGATGATGAAATATATATGATGAAATGGTTTCAATAGACAATGCAAGTACTCAAAAAATAAAAAGTAGGCCATTTATTTCAAAAAAAAAAAAGGGCTTTACGTCCCTGAGGGCTACAACGTTCAAACTAAAAAGTACAGTTCGAAAAAGAAAAAAGAAGTTTCATCTAGCCCCAGGCATCTCCAACATGTCACTGCAAGAAGAATCAATGCAGAAGAGGTGAGCAGCTTCGGGGGCAAGCAGAGCTGGGGCAGAATTAGCAGCAGACAGGGTCTGAGGAATGTTGGAATCAAGGACAAAAGTAGCTGACTCCGACAGAGCCTCGTCGGATGGGACGACAATTACCACCTTAGGTGAATTTGCCAAAACTTGCAACAGTGTTGGGGCTGCACCCTCGACAGCAATCTCGGCCTCAGCCTGCGCTACCTCTGCCGACGGCACGTAGTTGTGCATTTGGAAGAGTGGAGAGTCTGGAGGGATGCCGGCGGCTCGGAGCGCCTCATCCCACCCCTTTTTGAAGAACTCTTTGTTGTTATCCTCGAGGGCGGGTAATATATCATCGACAAACTCCTCTCGGATTTGCTCCTTAGTCTTCTTATTCTCCGCTTCCGCCCTGACCCTGTCCAGCTCTTGAGTTAGAGCCAGGAAGCTCTCCTCTGACCCGACGGCCCTCTCCTCGGCCGCAAGAGTCTCTGCGTCTACTGTGTGATCCTGCTCTCAGCGTCGGTCAAGGCAGTACTTAGCTTTTCAGCGCCGACCTTTGCCAATTCGTTGTCCTTAAGGAGTTGCTCAATCTGTGCAGCCTGCCCCACAAGGGTGGAGTCCCTGGCAGCCACGTCCTCCTTCACACTGGTCAGGGCTCTTTTGACCTCTTCCTTCTGCTTTTGGGTTCGTTGGAGGTCCATCCTAGCTGCATGGTATCACGCAGCGATTACGGAGATTTGTTGGGTGGCCTGCGAGGGAAAGAACTTGGTCAATTATAAGCGATGCAGTAAGAAAAGGCTGAAACAAAGATGAACTTACCACCAGAAAATTTTGAATGATGGAACGGAACAACATGTTCGTTGTCCGCCCCCTGTGAGCCTCCATGTCAGCTTTGAAATGGAGCGTCTCACTCATTGCGTTGGCGACATGGGGGTCCTGCAGAATGAAATCGTGGACCCTGATCACCTGGTTCATATGATCAGTAGCCCGAGAGTTCCATTCTGCAGCTTCCACCGTCTACGGAGGGGGAGGTGGAGTCTGTCTCTGCTACTGTTGCTGCCACTGCTGCTGTTGCTATTGTTATTGTCTCTACTACTGTTGTTGCTGTTGAGGTGGAGAGGGTAACCCATGGCCCCTCCTGCTTGCCTGTTGAGCGGAAGGGGCCCTAGATCCCCTGCCTGGGCCGTCGTGCCGTTGTTTGGTCCTCTTCTCCTCCTCAACTTGAGGATCTCGATCGCGTACTTGACCCCGACCAGCGACCCTTGGAGCTGGTGGGTTGGTGCTGGTCCCTGTTGATGGGGCGCTACTGGTTGACCTTTGTACTATCTCGGCAGCAAGGGCCTGCCTCTACCTCAGGAATCTCAGGTCTATGCGAGGCGTGCACGACATAGCTACCTCAAAGGCGTCCTCTGCGTCTAGGGACTGAAGGATGTGGATGTCAGGTCACGATTCTCTCCCTAAAGTCCCCACCTCGACGTGCGAAGGAACCAAAACCTCTTTGGCCCCGAACTCCTCAACTTCAAGGGCACCCTCTACTTTCGCCTCAGTAGCCCTGTCAGGGTCTTCCTTCAAGTTCTGCTTGGCCTCTTGTTGCGTAGCCTGATCGAAGAGTTCAGACCACCGCAAAGGGTTGAAAGGTTGGGGGAGCTGTGAGAACTTTTTGTACCCTACTGTGTAATTCGGAAGGATGTGAGCGGCTCGGCAAAACCCGTCGTCACCAACAAATCTCCAAACAGTGACAAGGTTAGCAAAGTTCACCAAGGACTGAGGGGGAGGAACGAATTCCCAGGCGGAGATGTCTGCACAAGAAAGAAGGTTATTAACACTACTGAAAAAAATCCCAAGAACAAAAACAGTAGACTCAGAGAAGTCGACGTACTTGTCGTTCTCGATTAAAAGGGCACATCAGACCATTGTACTCGAGACCGGTCCCCCGCTGCTAGGATCCATTGAAGATCAGAAGGTCATCCTTGTATCCTTTGTCCGAGTCAGGGGGGTGAGTTACAAGGTACATGGATGGATCCCTGGATTTGAGGTAGAAATTCTGCTGAGACATGACCCTCAACAGGGAGTAGCAAAAAAAGATATCGTTGAACCCAACGTTTATCCTGAGACAGTTGTTAAGCTCTAAAACCCCCATTATTATCCTAAAGACGTTAAGACAACACTGCCCCAGGAAGAGGTTGAAATGGGCGAGGAACTGGAGGAGTAGAGGAGGGAGGGGGAACCTAATTCCACCCTTTATGATTGCCTTGGTGAAAAAGGACATCTCATCCTCGGCCCCGAGAGTATGGTTATGCAAAATTGGGTCGTACTCTTCTATACGTACGTTTGGGGGGATACGGTATCAGACCCTAAACCTATTGATCTGCTCAGCCCCCTTCACTTTGTACTTTCTTGACCTCGAGGAACTGACCTGGGGATCCTTGGCGACAGGACGACGTCGGGGCATTTCCAAATAAGATAAAAACTGAAGACAAAAGAAAAAGTTTTTCTACAAAGATCCCCAAGGGGTTCCCTGAGGGTTGGTCACACAACGACAACCAGAAACACCTCCGGTTACCAAAGAATAAAAAACAAAGCCCAGAAAGACGGAAGGAGGCAGATACAAGGACTCACCAGAACGCGAACGAAGGATTTTGAAGGGCTTGAAGTAGTTCCTCTCTCCAAAAGGTTCAGAAGCAAGGGGGTGTTTGCTGGTCTAAACTCCGGTGACGACTGACTGGTAAACGACGTGACAAAGGGGGTCTTCGGCGAAGTTTTCAGGCGAAAGCTCTCTGAGTTCGAAATGGCAAAAGTGTGGAAAGAGAGAAAGAGAGCCTGTTTATATAGTACCCTTCCCCATCATTAGGCATGAAGCACGAAGCACGAAGAGGCGCATTTAATGCGTACGACCTCCTAAGCGGTGAAAAATGGCTGGAAGCAATGATGGAGTGGTTGGGGCAGTTGTAGAACCCTTCGTCTTCTTACAGCGCGTGTCCTTGGCGTCAAAAGATCGAAGGCTGAGGGACAGTTGATGGGACATTTACAGACACTCACAGATGATGACACGTGTACTCGGCGTCAATGAAGACTCTCACTGTGATACCAACACGTCTTCATCGGTTTTCAATCCCCCTGCCCCGAGGATGCTGTTCGCAGGGATCAAGGATACCCAAACCACCTCGGACTGACATGTATTCCTCGACAGTTTGGGTACATCAGTCCTAAATTATGCTAGTCCCTTGGCACCGAGGTGTATCTATTTGTGTGGGAATTTCTGCTCATACAAGGGCTATTGATGGACAGATCACTAGTCTAGGCTGGGCTAGACTAGCCATTATGACCTCGTCTTACTTAAATGGTGTCAGAAAGCACAAGAAAGCAAAAGGCACAACCAAAGGAGGATAGACACGTGGCATATTGTGTCAAATCAGAGGCAGAAATATCTGAATGCCCTTGCTGATACACAACTTGGGAAAGTAAGTATTTAATGCACCCTTCCCTTGATGAGACAACATTTAATGCATGAGAGCTCGGAAGTGAAAGGTAATAAATGCTCCAAAGCCTGGGCATTTAATACACCCCCGCCGAGGGAAGATCATTAAACGTTTGGCAGACCGAGGAGAAAACATTAGTTGCTCGGGATCCCGAGCAGTAAAGAATTAGAACATCACTCATAGAAATTGGTGTGCACACTGTCCATCTCTAATGATTACCTACTAGCTATGCTGATAACAATGATGAGTTTTTAAAGTATAAATAGTCCTCACAAACACAGAAAATGGGTACGCAACAAACCCTCTCTCAACCATCATACAATGTTTTCTTCTTTCCCTCTCTCAAAGAACTGACTTGACCATTAGAGGGGATACGCCGAACCTGTTTTTCTTTGTTCCAGGAACCTCATTTAGCCTTCTAGGATTACTCAGGCGACTCACAAAAATGATTCATTATCCACCTTGGGCCATCTTCAACCCTCACAACCTGTTCGAGTAGCTAGATCGACCACCCGATTGACGGACATGTGTTCACCATGGAAGAGATCTGTTCTAGTGTTTATATTGTGCAAGATCCTGCACGCACACCAATTTTTCCTCGAGTAATATTATTTGGATCTAAACATCCGACCTTATTTGTTGACATAATTTATTATGACCTTAGATTGATTGTAGTTTATATCAAATATTAGAATTTGATCTTCATCCAATGAAACCACATCATAGATTGATTGAGGGTGTCATGAAATGTTATAACTTCCTCTTCATCCAATGAAACCAAATCATAGATTGATTGTGGGTCTCATTTAAATCTAAATAGTATTACCGTTTTTTCTCCATTTTTCATGACAAATATCAATGACACTAGTAGTTTTAATCATGATCTATTGGCACAAATCATCAGAGCAGAAAATAAGTTGACTGCCTCTTATCTATAGACAACAACTACATCAAAGCAAATCAACAAGCTGAATGTTGATATGATGTTTTAAGTTAGTCATGTCTATTTTTGAGGTATACTATGATGAGACAATCTATAATTTTCGAAAGTAAAAATTAGTGCTTTTTAAAAAAAAAATTTGGGGGTTGCGGTGATATTTATATCCGTGCTTGATTTAAAAGTCTTTCGGTCTTCACATCACCCAAAACTAAAATGTATAGTTGGTGTGCTTAGTGCTTGCTACCACTGTGTAACTCTTACTGGACCCAAGGTGAGGAACAAGAGAAAGCCAAGGAAGAAGCAAGTGAGGTGCTGAAAATTCTTGACAGTGAACTCAAGGATAAGAAATTCTTCGGAGGTGACACCATTGGACTGGCTGATATTGCTGCTAATTTCATAGGCTTTTGGTTTCCAATTACCCAAGAAGTAATTGGAGTTGAGGTTTTGACAAAAGAGAAATACCCAAAATTATGCGAATGGATCGATGAGTTTGTCAACTGTAACATCATCATGGAAAATTTGCATCCTAAAGATGAACTTGTCGCCTCTTTCCAAGCTCGCCTCCAAGCTGCGACTGCTCCTAAATAAATAGCACATTGATGCTGCATCTGCTACTCTTAGGCGAGGAAATCTGTGTGAAATAAAATTCTGCAGTGTCACATGCCCGAGTTCTACCTTTTGATATTGTTCTTGTTGTAATATGTTCAAGTCATCTGCTTTAGTAGATGTTCAGCATTACTTGTACTGACCATTGTTTATGTTCAGCTTCCATCAGCTAACATATAAATGTAACTGTTTCAGCTTGGAGTGCAATTAACTTGTTTGATGTCGAATCGGGCACTTGGGCGGTCTAAGCTAGGTTCCATCCACCCTCAAGCAATCCTTTTTTCTAGTTTGGTTCACACAATTTATTGGGTATCAAAATCTCAATCTGAATAATGGAATTCCGCGATGATACGATCTAGTACAAATAGGTCAATCCGAATCTCTTACAAAATCCTTAATTCATAGATCTTTTTAAACCATAGGGATTGAGTAGCGGGGAGGTTGTACTTATAAAAAAAGGTACATTGAGAAGGTGTTGGAGCGCTTTGGAATGCAATGGTCAAAGCATGTGAGTACTCCACCTGCCGTTCATTTTAAACTCTTGGTTGTTTTTTCACTATAGGTTGTGTCACATGTTCCTTATTCTAGTGCAGTTGAAACCATTATGTATGTTATGATTTACACTAGGCCAGATATTTCACTCACCGTAAGTTTGGTTGGCTGATATATGGATTGATCAGGGAAGGTCCATTGGCAAGCTCTTCGATATCTATGAGTTACTGCAGAGGAAATAACATTTCTGGTAGTAATTTTGGATAAGTAGATTTAGATTATGTTGGGATCTTGATCAAAGGAGATCGCTGACAGGATATATATTCAATCTTTGTAGTTGTACCATCAATTGGAAGGCAACGTTGCACTATACAATTGTCAAAATATGTTTCTGAAATTGTATCAAATACTTTGCTATTGAACCCATTGATTGCTCCATCTTTGTGTCTATTGTCTATTACCACGGACACGTGTCTTTGAATACCAAAAACCATTTTTCGAAACTTTTCGGGAATATAACCAAAAAACGTATATTTTTGAATTCAGAAAAAAAAATCCTAAAGTGGCCACTATCAACCGGTACAAAATTTCTCACAATTCCTAAATAATTAGAAGGCTATGAACTTGGCCAATGATGTTCAAGAATCAATTGGAGTACTAGATTCTTAAAAATACATATTCTACGCTCACATTATTAAAAATAGTGAGCAAAATATCAAACAAACCACAGAAAGCAACGCATGAATATTGCACCATTCCATAATCGAATAGAACAGAACAACACACACAGAGAAAAAGAGAAAATTTGAACACACACACTCAACGCACATGGCAACACATGCACACAGACTACACAAAGAGAACACAAACGCACATACCATACACAAAGAGAGAGAGAGAGAGAGAGAGAACACACACACACAAACTCAGTGAATACAAAAACACACAGAAAACAGACAAAACCACACACACAGAGAACATAGACACACTCACACATAGGACTTAAATTATAGTGAACTCAAAAGGATTGGAATACCAGCGAACACACTTTAATAACAATGCATGTTCGTGTGTGTGTATATGTGTGTGTGTGTGTGAGCAGCAATAGAGAGAGATAGAGAGAGAAAAGAGGGGATGCACAAGGAGAGAGAGGAAAACGAGAGCATAATTGGGTAGGGAGTGCGAGAGAGAGAGAGCAACGGGCTTTGCGTAGTTTGTAGGGGGAGAGAGGATAATTGGGGAAGACATAGGGCTTGAAATAGGTAACACATAGGACAGTTCCTTTTTGGTAGGAAAGAAGATGACATAGATCACATTCTGTTAAGGAAAGAAGTTTAAAATTAGGGCATGAGAGATCCCTGAAAATCTTGAATTATGTGTTGAAAATTTGCTTATATTAGATTTCTATTAATTGATAGTTAATTTTTAATTTGTGAAAAACGGGCTGAATTTATGATTCAATGAGAAGAGTTCAATATTATTAAGTGATATATTTTGATGGGTTTATGTACATATTTTTTTAATTGATATGATTGAGACGGTTAAGTATAGGCCAGAATTTAATTGTGGACCGTAATGAAGAGCCTATTAAATTTTATTATAAATAGCAAAGTAGATCCTCTCTTTATTTCATAACCCTAAATTGGCTTGTCTCATTGATAGCCGCCTATTGCTTTGAAAAAGGAGAGGAAAACCTTACCTTTCCGCTAAAAAAATATGGAGATCGAGTATCATAACTCATACAGGTATATTTTAAATCTTGTAATTTAAGTGTTCTAAATTTCATATACGAATTAATACTTTTTACATATGATATCAAAGCTATTCAATTTTTGTGTCACTATTTATGGCCGTGATTAACACAAGACAGCAGACGGCGTCAATCAAAAGCTACAACAGAAGGCTAACAAAAAAAAAAATCTAAACAAGAAAAATCCTTTACATCATCTATACGTAGATGACATGCACTTTATCAAGAAGAAGAAAAGAAAAGTGTGGGGGTTCACATAGCTCCTTAGTTTGGCGGTTATACTTAATATATATAAACTAACTGAGCTTCAGATTTTTCTTGAATGGTTCGGCGGCTATAATTGATTGTCGTCAATCTTGGGCAATATATATATATATTCAATTAGCCTATTAAATTTTTATTAATTATTTATTGATTTTGTTGACAAATAGACATATACTTTATCCATACAAATTATTTTTTCATGTTGAAGTAACTTTAATTGAATTGCTATAATTTGTAGAGAGTGTTTGTATAATTCTAATTTTAATCCCTAGTAATTTATACGATAATTTTTTGTTTATGATTTACATATTATTTATTAACTGTTGATAGATGTGAATTTAAATTACTTAATTAGTATCTCATATTGATTGATCACATGATATTTAATTATGGATAATTTGTTATAATATTCCCGTTTGAGAAATTATATGAGTTAAGATAGATGGTTATCACCAAAGTGGTCTATTCATTGAAATTTGTAGATTTTTCTCATACTTTTGTTACGGGATGGTCTTTAAATTATAATATACAATTACCTGTGCAAAGGGGATTATTGTGTATTGTAATTTAGAGATGTCATGAAATATTGTGCTAGAGGTGCAATAGTCTAGAAAGTTTATCTATCCAAAGGGGATAAATTTTTGAAACTTTAGCGTTCTCATTGGTTACTTTTATGAAATAGAAGACCTATAGCATATTGTATTCTCTGACCAAAAGAGAGTTTGTAGTGATGTATTTGGACTCTCTTAATAAAATATGACTTATTATGTTTAAAACATATTTTATTTATTTATTGTCCAATTTTTCTAACTGTTTAAATTCTCGTTACTTTATACAGTCTCTTTTGCTGTGAATAATAATAATGCCAACATTAAAGTCTTGACTGATTCTAATTATAAGAGATAGAAGCAAGATATTGAGTTTGTCCTAAGAATTGCTGATATAGACTTTGCCTTGAAAAAGAATGAACCTGTTAAATCTACTAGTGAGAATTCCCCTGAAGAAAAAAGGAATTTATGCAAAGTGGAAGAAATCTAATCGGCTGAGTATGATTGTCATGAAAAAGTCTATCTCTAAACACCTTATGAGTGACTTACTTGAAACCAAGAATGTCAAGAAGTTCTTTACCGTTGTAGGAGAGAGATACAAGGTATCCAATAAGACTGAAGCTAGGGGTCTAATGAATGAATTAACGAATATGAAATATAACAATGTAGGTGGTGTTAGGGAATATATCCTTAGAATGATTCATGTTCAAACTAAGTTCAAAGTCTTCAAAATTGTTATTCTTGATGATTTTATAGTTCATCATATGCTTAATTCTTTGTCTCTTGAGTTTAGTCAAATCAAAATTGCCCACAATATCCAAAATGAGTCTTAGACAATAAATGACCTTATCTCCAAGTGTGATTATGAGAAAGAAAAAATTAGAAAAGAAAAGAGTGAAACTGTCTTGTCTGTTTCTCAGCCTAAATCTAATTTCAAAGGTGGATATCAGGAAAATAATAAAAAATCGAATCATAAAGCTCCAACGAATGGTCGAGATTTCAAAAGGCATGGTACTAGTCAAAATGTGAGAGGTTCTAAAGCTGCCATTCAAAAATATGTCAAGTGTTACTTTTGTAAGAAATGAGGTTATGAAAAAAGTGAGTACACTCGATTCAAATTTTAGTTAGAAATGAAGAATAAATAAAAAGGTAATTCACTAGCCTTTGTTTGTTTTGAATCCAATTTAGTTGATGTCTCATTAAATTATTGGTAGATTGGTAGTGGGACTTTTGTTCATGTTGCCATGACTTTGCAGGAATTTACAAGCAAACGGAGGCCAAGTGAAGGGGAGGCCAAACTTAAAGTAGGAAATAATAATGAAGTCTATGTTGAGTTCATTGGAACTATTAGGTTAAATTTAGACACTTGTTTTAGAAAATACTTTTTATGTACTGTTATTTAGGTAGAATTTGGTTTCAGTTTCTTTGCTTGATAAAATTAGATATTGTTTTAATTTTAGTAATGATAAAACTCAGTTATCTTTAAATTCCAAAATTATTGGTCATTGTGTTTTATTATATGGACTATATAGTATATACTTGGCAGTCAATAATGAATATAGTCTTTTAAATATTGTGAATGTTGTATCTAAGAGACCTCTCATTAAAGAAAAATCTTCACAACTGTGGCATAAACGTTTGAGTCACATTTCTAGAAAAATAGTTGAAAAATTACTAAAGGACGATATTCTTTCTCCCTTTGACTTTGGAGGGACCTTGAAACTTGTGTTGACTGTATTAGGTACCCTAGGTGGTAATAAATATTTTATTACATTTATTGATGATTTCTCTCGTTATAGATATATTTTTTTAATTAATGAAAAATTAGACGCTCTTGAAAACTATAAAATATTCAAGACTGAAGTAGATAAACAATTAGGAAAAGTCATCAAAATTTTAAGGTATGACTGTGGTAGTGAGTATTATGG